AAAGGCAAATATAACTTGCTTGCAAGTGTCAGCTCTAAGGAGACATCCACAAGATAAACTGAAAACTTCCCCTTCTTTGTCATCCTCGTACCAGCTATTTAGGCAAAGCCAGGGAAGTAGCATGGTTCTTCGTAATGTGCTTTGTCAGCTAGGAGACAGAAAGCTTTTTCAGACTACCATGAGGCACAAATTCTGAAAGTCTCTTTTTCTCCTAAGAGCATCAGTCAGTTTAACTCACTGTCTCCGAGTCTCTGGTATCAAAAGAGACTGTAGTCACTGGTGCCTTCTTCCATTAGCACCTGCTATCCAAAACGGAGGACATGTTTGCAGACGTTTCAGTGCCTGTTTTGGCTCTTGTGATGATGACTCGGGGAAGGAAGATCTGTTCCCCTAAGGGAACAAGGGTGCAAGCCACACAGGAGAGAGTAGGAGTCCTGCTGAGTAGTGCGTTGTGATATCTTGATAATCCACCAGTAGCAGGTTTGAGAGGAGGTTCACTGGGAAAAGATGACTAACCAGAACAAAAACCTGGCTCAAGGCACTGCACGTATATTTCAGTTATATATATCAGTGACCGAGTTTCATAGTATCGAACATGTAGAAGAGCACAGGAGACGCAAAGCCTGCCTCAAGGAATTTATGATCCAGGAAGACAAGAACTAAGCAGCAGTTGAAACGTATAAAAAACATGACCAGAAGTGGGCATCATAAAACAGAAGTGCAGATATTTTACTGTGGTTTTAATTTGGTAAATCTAGCATTTGTGAGTGCTTGTGGCTAACCATATAACCCACAACCCTTCTATCTCCAAATGAAACTCTGGGGCAGTCAGTTTAAGGATGTTAATAAAAATAGTTCAGCCCTCTATGTGAGCTGCTACAGCACTGGTAGCTCACACCTATGGTCATTGCAATGGCCTGGGGGCTGGTACCAGGCTGTAACATTGCCAGTGGGGGAGCCCAGGGCATTCATTTTCCCCAGTGGCCTAATTCAAACGCTATCTATCTTACATACTTACATGCACAATGTAGAGTTTCATACTTACCCCTTTTGGAAAGTATCTTCTTCAACGTTGCTGCATGCTTTCCTAAACACTGTAAGGGAACTTGAAGCTACCTTACTGGGTGCGCTTTGGAAATGTAATTAAATAATAAACTAAGAACCTGTGTATTATGCTGTGTAAATTTGTATTCGTGAAGCACAGTAGGAAAACAATGCCAGCAGCTTCCATTTCTAGACAAATGAATGTAATCTTGGTGTTTTGGGGTTTCTATAACAAGCTGAAGAGAATAAGAATAAATTAAGCTGACCTATCCTGCATATACAGAAATGATGGGGTTTTTGCCAACATTCAATTTCCACAGCTGGAACAATATAGAAAATAAAATATTGTGTAAGGAAACAAATCTGCTGGTGAATCAGAATGGGCCTTTACTGCCTGAATGACAATCAGTTGACATTCAATTATCATGTTAATTGAATTAAAGCAAGCTAGAAATTACTTAATTCCATAAGTAAATGCTCCTGTCAAGTTACTTATTTAATAATTGTTGCTTGCTTGACAGAGAAGGGGAAAATGACCTTATAAGAGATTTCTGAGATGTTAAAAATAAAATTAAATGTTGCCACTATACACTATAGATAAGCAACAGAACAGAAGCCTGCTTCTTGTTACTGGAATAATGTTAAATATTACTGGAAATGATGTGTTTCAAAATTTGGCACTGTATTAAGCATGAAAGTCAAAAGAGCTTCAGCCATTTTCTAGAGCACACTTGAATGACAACACAAGCCTTTTTCCTCCCCAAATGTGCTGCAAGGATGCAACTCTGTTATACTTACTGCAACTCAAAACTATTTAAGCCTGAGGGCTAAAAATTCCCACAGCTGCAAAAAAAAAAAAAAAAGCGGCAGGGAGGGGCAGCTGACTTGCTCATACCTGTTTGAGGTGCTGCTACAAATGCTGAGGAGGCTCCCCACTTGTCCTGCCTTCATAAGCCCCCAGTACAAGTCCAGTCTAGCACAAAGTCAGTGAACTGGTACCCACTGCCAGGGCCACATTCATTTGCCATAGAGAAAAATATTGACAGACAGACCTTGTTGTTACTCATGAAAATTAACAACTCTCCAGACAGGCAGAACTTACCCTAATTTTTAGTATAAGCCAGGACCAATCAGATTTTCCAAAACTAGTGTGAGGATCACTGACCCACTCCTATGCTGACCTAAACAGTGGGCATCTTCAAAAGGACAACAACGTATAGACAGTGAGAGCTCAAGCTGTTGTCCTCGGAGGACATGCCAATGCCCCTACAAGGATGAAATGGGGTGAGCTGACCACCGTCCAGACAAGCCAGCCTGTGGGGACCATTCCGGCCAATGCAAAACATCAAAGCAGGCTGGGGTCATCAAAAACCTTTCCCCATCCATTAAGGACTTTTTACTATAATGACCTTCTATTACATGTTTAATGTTTCTATTACCATGGATGACATGGTGTTCATGTGGCTATTATTGGCTCAGCAGAAGACCCAAGAAAAGAGGGCGAGAGGATGTGTACACTGAACATGGTAGATGTATGGGCAGGAAATAATAAGGAAATAAAAAAAACCCAAACAAACAGCTGTATGATGACATTCCAGTGAAGTAGTGATGTTTTAGATGGAGATTTACAGAATTGTTGTTAGCTTCATATTACTGAGTTAACCTTGTGCAATATGATTATTTGAGGGAAAAGTCGGGTCCCAGAGGACTCTTTCAATATGCTGTGACTGTAAGAGCACAGCAGGACTGTATATTTTTTATATTTGTGTAATGCAAAATAAAACCCAATGTGGAAGCAGTAGATACATGATCTTTTGAAGATCATTATTCTGTGTAAAATTCTTTGTTCAGCTCTGTTTTTTAAACTAGCTATCAGAATGATGCAGAGGCATTGCAATGTACAAAGCGGTATAACTTAGTCTTTGTTCTGTAGGTCAAGCTAAATTCATTTTAGCAGCTAGGAACAGATTGTTGACTAATTTTTTATTCATTCTCAAAACAAACAGTACATTTCCCTAATAATCACAAGCGATTACAACTTAAAAAGCAAATTGCTACCATTTTTTTTGCAAAACAATAGGAGATCAGCCAACACTATATATTTATCTTAATCTGGAGAAATTACAAGGGCGCACAGATACAGTTGCACAGCTAAAACCAATCTTTTTTCCTCTCTGTCTTTATATTTACAATTTTAGAAGCCTAAGACTTCTCTGTTTCCATTATGATCTTTTGCTTCCCTGGGAAGCAAAACCTTTAATCCTTTTAGGCAGCCTCTGAGTTTTGCCAGCCCGTATCTGAGGTTTGTTCTATCTCTGAAAGCAAAGCCTCAGTGAAACAAAAACATGTTTCATGAGCACATTCTTTATAAAAATGGTGGTGTACTGGATCCTTCCAGCCTGACACTACCACTCTCACTTTGTAGTCTGCAACTGCATTGTCCTCTGAGCACACACTTTGTGCTGCCAAGTCCTCTCCATTACGGGACTGCTGGTTTCACTAGAGCATTGGAAGATCAAAAGAGATCCCTTTAAAGTTTCATAAAGTTTATCCTTCTGGGGAGGAGATGTACGTGTGTGGTTTTCAGCTGTGGCATTCAGGAGAACACCCCAAAATTGTCATAAATGGCTTTGCCCATCTTTTTTACCTTTGAATCAATTAGCCCAGTTAACTAGGCAGTGTGGAGTGGGAGGAGGAAGGTGGGCAATTTTTCCTGTCTTCATGGAGGCTTTCTGCAGGTGCCCAGGCTGTGCACTTGACTGGGGAAGTGGACTCAAAGGAAAGCAGAGACTCAAAGCTGCAGTTCCATTTTGTGTAATATTGTGAATCCCAAATGCCCACAAACACGTGAATTGATCTCTGGCCCGGGCATGTGACTTAAAAATTGTGAAATATAACAGCAATTAAAAATAAAAAAAACCCCAAAACTTTCCCTTTATTTGTCTCCCTTACATTTAAACCTTCCATTTGGATCGTTTTTAAGCTTTTCCCTGTGACACAGAAGGCTAGGAGTCAATCCTGCATAGTCACATGAAGCCAAGATGCTTGCATAGCTCCTAAGTCTATCCTTTATTAAAAAAACCCAACAAAACCATGAATTGGTGAGAAACTTGTGATACTATTTGCAAAGAGAAATGCTGACTTGTTCCTGAATCTGTCACTGACATGGCTAACAGCAAGTCATTAGCTAGGCACCATGGGTCAGAAACTGGTTCTCCTCCTGAAAACTTTCAACCCTAAGTATCTACGTATGCTTTTCTAAGCTCATGTTACTGTAGTGCTATGAGGTCCTGCCTAATCCTGCAGATAATCTTTGATCTTGAAATTTGGGTAAAATTGAAGTGATTCTCCAAGCTCTTCAATCTATTATGACATTGTGCACATGCCACATTTAAAATAATTTGGTGAGTTGAGAGAAATGTACAGAAATAGATCCGTGCTCCTGGGAAGTTAATTAGACCGATATGGGATCAAGACTGGAATAATGACTAACGTGATTTATTATCCTTAGCAGCTCCATGAAGCTTCTTTGACTGCCCCCAACAGTTTATCCAGGGAAGAGAGAAAGCCTCTTGGCTGATCTCCTCCATTTAGCTCAGATGCCTTTCTGCGCATTCTCATCTTCCCCAGAGGGTTTTAACTCATCTCACAAGTGGAAGCCAGTGGAGAGGCCCACGCCCCTAAAGGTCCCATTTGCAAGTACGCCCCACGCTTCACTTTGAACAATTAAACCTGAGATGCTATGAGGGGTATTGTTTTCTCAGTACTGCTGGATGTTTCACAGTTGGAAAAATATTTTCTTTAAAATATTTGATGTTTATTATTTCAGTCTTTAAGCAATATGAGGAGGAAAGGCTGTTTACTTAGAAAGACTTTATGAAGATGCATGAGACACACCGGTGATATATAACAACAAAACCAGATTAATTTACCAATGTGACACTCTTTGTTTTTAGGTATACAAAAAGAAAACTGAAGCTGCCAAGAAGGAATATCTGAAGCAGTTAGCTGCCTACAGAGCAAGCCTTGTATCCAAGGTAACACATAATGTATATACATACACACATATATATAGTGACATATTGCAAACCATCTTCAGCGTTTATATGGTGCTGAGCACCGTAGTATTTAGTGCAAATAGTCTTGTTTGTTATCACCTTAAACTTAGGTTTAAGGTGAAAATGCTCAATAAACACAGTGATCTCTTTATGAAAAGATATCCTTTCCCTTCTGGTCAAAGAGACAGCTCTTCTCCAGGCTGGGAGTATCATCACAGTTCAACAGAGGAAGGAGATACCTGTAAAAAGACCTCAATATCACAAACGTGCCATGCCAGGCAGTCCCTGTTCTACCTAGAAGGGAAAAAACCCACATCATTGCCCAAAATGCCTGGTTTTGATTCCAGGGTTTTTTAAGTACTGCTTTTTACCTTGCGATTGCAATACAGAAAAAGTCAAGCTTAGCTCACATAGCAAATTTTCATAGGAAAATGTAAATTTCCATTTTACATCCACCAAGCAATTTGTGTGAGCACCGCATAGGTCACTGTAAGGCTCTTATCATAGAATCATAGCATCATAGAATGTTTTGGGTTGGAAGGGACCCCTAGAGGTCACCTAGTCCAACCCCCCTGCAGGAGCAGGGACACCGCTAACTAGATCAGGTTGCTCAGAGTCCCGTCCAACCTGGCCTTGAATGCTTCCAGGGATGGGGCCTCCACTACCTCTCTGGGCAACCTGTTCCTCTTGTACTGGAATGTGCCAGTCTATCCCCAGTACACAGCTAGTAGCAATTTTCAAAACTGATTTATACAAACATTCTTAGTGCCCATAATTTTGTACTAGATGCTTTAAAATTTGTAATAGACTTTAAAATACACAGAAGAATGTGAAATTACTGCACTGTGTCAATGTGAAAAACTGATCGAGCAGCTTCAGAATCAGACAAGTTAGAATCACTTGGTTTGGGTCTGTCAAAACAAATTTAGGTATTGTTCTTACAATATCTACAATCTATCTTACAATCTATCCTACAATCTATATTTAGATATTTGTTCTTACATAAATAAAATTAATTTTAGAGGTAAAGATGGCTATATGAAGAACTGGCATATATGACATGAGCAGAACTTTTTGTTAGTTCTAAATGTTTTTTGGGGTCCTGGACTATACTTGTCTGTATATTATATTGATTTGTACACATTTGCAGGGAAAGACTATATGATTATCCATACAGGACTTTTCATGCATCTTTCTACATTATGTTAGTATTTGGTCAGTGTTCTGAATTTAAAAGTCTGAAACATGGGTGTTACCTCAATAATTTTTGGGGGTTGTGTCTTACGCATTTTAATTTCATAGCTACCATCATAAATACTAGTGTATTTAGTTAAAGTGATTTACAGGGTACCTTTCATTTCTGCCTTAGGGCTGTTTGATTCTAGAAATACTCATTGCCTTCAGAAAGGGTACCATGTGCACACAAAAAAATTATTTATTTTTTTTTAAATAGCCTGCTTACTGGCAAAAGATAGGTCTAAAAAGCTCAAAATATTCCAATAAGTTCTGAAGAAATGCATGAAGCCAACTTTTCACTTGTGAAAATAACTTGGATGTCATTATTCAGCACATCATGGACTGTTTACAAAACACTCTATATAGCTTATTTTTGAAATGGCACATATAAAAAATTATATTTTTATTTTTGGGGGAGGGTTGGAAAGAGAAAATAGTATATTATGGCATTTTATAAGGTTTGTTTCTAGAAAAGTTTAAAAGATTGTTGATCAGTTCAGTGCATCAAGCCATTTGTGCATATATTTAAATTTGGTTTTAGTCAGAAAAGCACTGAAGCATTTTCTTAACTTCTAAGCAATTATTTAAATTCTACCCATAATGTAATGTTTTCCTTTAGTGTGGAAAGTATCAAAATATAAACTTAATGAAGCTAAGTACTAATTGCTTCCTCTCATGAACATGCTCAATGAGTCCAACAGAGCTGGAATGTAACTAAAGCAAGTCCATTTCGCAATAAGGATGTAAAATACCCAGATGTAATATTATATCAGTATATTCTAAATTGTCATTATTAAATATTTATATGGCACCAGAAGAGTTGTAGTTCTTTAGACAGGCATGTAACCATGAAGAGATATATATAATACATTATTAAGATTGTTTGGAGTCCATCTCGTCTTTTATGTCCCTATGTTATATTATCATCCATAGAAGCTACTTTTAGAGAATATTCCTAAGATTCCAAGACCTCATTCTCAAAAGTTCAGACATGCCAAAAGTAACATACCTGTTCCAAAAATGCTTTAATGCAATAATAATTATTTGCTCACGTGGTGTGGTTTATACTTTATACTGCTGTCGTGGGGTTTAACCCCAGCCAGCAACTAAGCACCACACAGCCACTCACTCACCCTCCTTTCCCCCTGGTGGAATGGGGGAGAGAATCAAAAGAGCAAAAGTAGGAAAACTTCTGGGTTGAGATAAGAACAGTTTAATAATTTAAATTACTATTATTAATAATAATAACAAAACCAACAATTACGTAGTGAAAAGGAAAACAACAACAAACAGACAAACAAAAAAAGAACAAAACCCCAGGAAACCCAAGTGATGCAACCACTCACCAACCGATGCCCAGCCAGCCCCAAGCAGTGGCCCCCTGGCCAACTCCCCCCCAGCTTATATACTGAGTATGATGCCATATGGTCTGGAATAGTCCTTTGGCCTGTTGGGGTCAGCTGTCCTGGCTGTGCCCCCTCCCAGCTCCTTGTGCACCTGGCAGAGCAGGGGGAGCTGAAAAGTCCTTGACTGGTGTAAGCCCTGCTCAGCAACAACTAAAACGTCAGGGTGTTATCAACATTCTTCTAGTACTGAATCCAAAACACAGCACTATGCCAGCTACTAGGAAGAAAATTAATTAGCCGAAACCAGGACAACTGCACTCCGTGTGAGTCTCATTTCATATGCTTATAATCAGGTGTTCACCTTGGGAGCTCCTGTGTTGTATTTACTGCATGTTGTTTAACCTTGCTTCTTCATAGCGTTTTCTGTGCTGCTCATCCCAGCAGCGTTTTAGTGTAAAGAAATTCTCAGTAATAATCTGGAGCAGGAAGTTTGCATTGTCCATGTTTTCAAACACAAACATCATTCTGAAATCAGGTTTTCAGTAATTTATTTTGGGTCTCCTGCTTGGGACATCTAGAACTTCATTTTTTTAGAGTGTTTGACCAATATTATTAAACGGTCATGTTTATAGCAGAGCTCCAATGAGTTCACGGTCAGCTGGCTGGCAGCTATGAGATGTTCAGTTGTGCTTCACATCACATTAGGACATCCTCTTGCTATTCAAATGATAGGAGTTGCCCAATTACAAGCTTTCTTCCTTCTCCCCTCCCAGAGGACTCTGCTGGTGGGAAGAGGCAGGCACAAACAGGCAAGAGTGCTGCTCAGGTCCCCTGTCTTCCGTTCAACAGGTTCCTCACACCTTCCAAAGCAGCTGCTCTACCAGTTTCCTAACTTTTGAACACTGATTCTGACACTTTTTTTCAGGAAGTACTACCAGTTTTTAAACAACTAGTGAGTGTAGGGCTTGTATGTGAGTCTTTGTGTATGTTTTTCTGCATTTCTTTGCAAGTCTTCATTTTTCTGAAAAGCAAAAGAATGGACATATGCCGTATTATACCTGAGTAGACCAGACTCGGGAGTTGAATTCACTGCACCCATCTTGGCCGTTTGAGTTGCTGGAATAGTCAGAATAGAAGATTGAAGAGAAATGGGGTAAATCTCCTTTTGCTGGAAGATTTCTTAGCCTCTGCCTGACAGCAGAACAAGGAGGTTCAGGGATGTGGCTTTCCATCCCAAGCTCTGGGGTGAGAGTGGAGTGTCATGTAGGGATGGTGGGCTTCTCCATGATACTCAGCCCTTCGCCCCCTTTGCTCTGCTTTTCTCCCTTCCCTTCCCTTCCCTTCCCTTCCCTTCCCTTCCCTTCCCTTCCCTTCCCTTCCCTTCCCTTCCCTTCCCTTCCTTCTCCCCAACAGCAATCCTTTGCTTCATACAGTTTTTTCCTAGTTTTCCTCTTGTCCTCTGCATTCTGACTTCTCCTTCATACAATCATAGCCATGGGTGCATAGTGAAGGAAACTGGAGATGAATGTGAGGGACAGACCACCTGCTCTTCATCTTCATCATAGAGGGCAACCAGTACTGGGAAAGCCCACATGGAGGAATAGTCTCAGCTGCTTTCTCAGTTGATACACGTTTATAAATTGGAGTGTCATTTCATGGGAAGATGAGATATTAATCTTTGACACAATCTATCATTGTTCCTTCCAGAGTTCAAGTCCCTCTTCCATTGTATCTTAAGGAAGGGCACCCAAATTTTTGGGGAGGTGTATGGTGCTTTCCTCTGGGTGCATTCTTGACAAAGCTGAGCAGTTCTGGTTGGAGTTTGTCACGCACACACAGAAGTCACTCACAGACCTCGTATGTATAATTTTAGGCTGTGTTATTTGACAAATCATAACTGAAAAGGGTGGAAGTGTCACCAGCAACTCCGGTAACAGGATTGCCAGCCCATCCCTACTACACTTTTAAATGCTTTAGTGATGTCTTTATAAAACTGAGCTACCACCCAGTAAATAAGGTAAACATATGATTGTGTAAATATGTCAGTTATGCATTAATCCCTGTTTAATTTATCAGTTTATTTCCTGAATTGTCTCCTTTTTTATAATGATTGAAATTAATGGGGCTGGTTTTGAGTTTGTTCATGTGTGTAGGAATTGATATGTAAAGTAAAAATCACATTACAAAGCATTATCTCTTCTGCTATGCAGATTGCCATATTGCTGATAGTACTGACTAAGCCTTTGCCTTGTAAACAAGTGTCTTTATATTTGCCCTTAGTTGCAACTTTTAGTACTGTTCAGGTCCAGAAATGCAGTCTCTGGTATCTGGTAATTTGTACAGCATTACATAAAATGCTGTGAATTGCAATTTTACTTTTTCATAAAACAAGCACTT